TCTTTCTGTATTAGAACCTAACATGTATCGTGCCGTTAGATCATGATCATCCCGGCGCAAGGGATACGGGATTTTGCTTGAGGAGAATGAGATGTGTTGACGGTTCCAATCTTGATTTAATCTTTTTAGGTAGGGATCCTTTTTGTGCAAAATAAATCGAAAAATATATTAATTGGTACAAAAGTGCTTTCGTATGAATATAAACAAATTTCGGTCTTGAAGCTTCATTGGGAATTAGACAAATATATGTTTCAAGGAGCTGAATATTTTGGGCTGAATGATCTAGGTTCATCAATCTAGGTACATATCTAGGTTCATGAGGATCATTGAGCATCCTAATCTTTTGGGTATGATTCGAAAATTGGGTCAATTTGATGAATTATTGATTCATGTATCGACGAGTGGTTTTTTAATTAATCATTATGCCAACGACTAATGAGTGTGTAGTGAGAGACATTGTAATCCGTATCAAAACTGTTATTTTGGGTTTTGTATCCAAAACCCAACTTCGGAGTCGGAGTGGTACAAATATCGTAAGAAGATGAAGGGGCTTCGCGAAAATATTCCACATATCATCCACTACTGTACGCCGACTCACCGAGATTCTTGTGGCACTGTACAGTGCACACTCGACTGTAACACCTTTTTCTCGTCACCACATTAAACCCAGTCGTTACCTTATACCCTCGAAAGCTCATTCCTACCAATCTTCTAAGTTCTTACCCAGCAGCGCTATATTCCTAGGCACACTACCCAAACACGAGGCTCGATTGTATCCACAGCCAGCATATTGGGTTCAGTCGATTCGGATACCCCTGCTTTGCCATCATCTGGCTTGTTCCCCATTATTCTATCAGTAGGCCAGTAGGGGTCGAGATGGAGCTAAAGCTGAAAAGCGCCGTGATGATCGCTCTTGCTTCGGATAATGCAGATCTTAGTACACACACCATCGGTGGAAGGTTGGAAGTATCTTCGTATCTGACACGCTGTATGGGCCGTTAAAGACGAGACACAAAATACATGGTAACCTTCTAAAGATTCTTCCATATCCAATTACTCAGCTGTAGTGTGACCGCATCTTATTCACCATGCACCATTTTTTGCAAGCACGACACCATTGAGGAACGCCGTATTAAGGTACTGGAAAGCAGAGAACAGCCAGCATCTATTTGTTGCTTTCTTATGTTTGTATGTTCGCCTAGGGAACACTGCTGCGCTAAAGTGCGACCATAACGCCGCGAAGCCCCTTCATTACCCCCTCCCGGAGAAGAAACCTGGAGTAGTCTAGCAACTGCGGAGGCTGGAAAATAAAAGCATAGCCTGTCATACGGGTATAAAATGAATTCCCAGTAAAATACAATCAATATGATCAGTCAATTCGCACGATCGCGTATAGTATAGTATAATCATCATTTGAAACTCGGTAAGTCCAAGGACGTTTGGCGTTTAATTCAACTACCTACTTGCAGTCAAACAGTCATAGAACATGATCAATTCTCCGTATCTCTAGGGATTTGCCATGTTTCGGATACTCACAAGCCCTTTTTGATGTGCGGCAGATGATCTCCCGAGAAGGCGCTCTCGCTTCTACATTGATGAGAATAGCCAAAATTCAAAGGAGGTTGTTTCTTGAACGACAAGCATGAACGGGCTGAAATGTGAAAAAGTGTGACGGAGAGGTGACTATCCATCTCCTTGTGCCATAACAACCAACAACTATCTTTGTCATATTGTGTACAGTGGTGTGTACAGTGTACGGTTATTCTACAGGTAGTGTTAAAGCTAATGGACATCGTATATCTTACCCTGCGGCGCGGCGTAGATGCGAGGCAACTGCGAGGTGATAAGGATATCATCGTGGCTCGTGCCTATGGAAATCCTCGGAGATGATTTCTGCAAGCACCCATCCTGGCATATTAATTAAATCCATTCAATCATGAATTGGCACTGACTTACCAATTTTCGCCTGGCTTTGTACAGAAACGGGTAGCAATTCAATACGAATGCGTGGGAGGAAAGCGAATGCAGGTATATACATACATACCTACTCTTTCCCCTACTTAGACCCGACTCAGACTCCTAAATGACATCCTTTAGCTACCTACACATGCTTTTCATATTTCATAAATTGAGCAATCTGAATCCAAGAGCTCAGTCATTCTACTTGTCAACTTGATCCAGGACAACGAAGAGTTATCAGTCAGACCCAAGTATAGACACGAACATTCGGTGATAACATGCCATCAATAAGAATAGATCGCAGGTATATCGTCATCGAGCATAAAGTTCATTCATTTGATTGTGATTGGTGTTAAAATTATCTCCTGCAGGATGATCATCGCATCCCAGTGATACTCTTCACCAAGGGCCCTAGGAAAGTGGCAGCTTGTCGGTCCTTCTCAACCAAGGATTATCGTTGATGACCACATGGGGCTTTGTGTTAAGCTTGCCCCGCGGTCGCCAAAAGCTACTATTCATGAACGCGTATACTTCACAGTTCGTGATTCTTAGCCGGTCAGTTCCTCATCCAGTAGTGATATGCAAAGAACGAACTCCTTCAGGGAACCGTCCCACATATATGGCATTTTCGAAATCATATATAGGTGTCTGTATAGCCATATGTACTGCTACTCCAAACATGTAGATGTGACGAGTATTCAGTCTTCAACAAAAGCAAAAGCCTATCTGCAGTGTTTATTAACTCTCAACAGTTCGACACAGGAGCAAAGGCTTCTCTGAGTCAGGAACTCTGGAGTAAGGAATGCATGCACCCGAGATAGGCAAGGTTTCCCAAAGATTCGCGTTTGCACAGTGCACCTTTAGCCCCTTGATTAATATATAATGCATGTTCTCAAAAGCCTCATAATCATCCTTTCACGATGCTAACTTTTTCATCACACCCTCAAGTACTTTTGGCAACCAGACTATGGTTGATGCAGTCTAATTTTCATCCTAGGTCCTATCTCTATCAACTGCCTGACTTTTTCCTGCTACCAAGAAATGCGCGAATTGGGGTCACTCAACAGATCCGGGCTGCATATTATTTGCATATATTGGATCTTGATGTCCATCTAGGATCAACTCCGGAGGACAAGCAGCATTTACCAGGCGGGGGTCGATCATCCGTCACAATCCGTCGAAACCTGCTTCCAACGCCCTGTTCATCGTCCGCAATCCACTTGGCCAACTCACAACTGGGTGTATCTCTGCCTGTTTGAAATATTCCAATCATGGAGCGAGCATCTTTTTATGTCCGACTGGAAGATTCCGCAAGGAATTCTATTATGTCTGTGATTTGATCAATTTACGACGAACATGCCACCAGATCAAGCCATCACAGAACTTTTACAACTCAATTCTTTGTCAAGATTTTTCGAAAAATCCATACATTTCGCATTTCCAAGTCTATTTGGTTTTTAGCTTACTCTTGACTCAATACATAAATAAGGAGGAAACATAATCCGGAAGTTAAGTCACATTACGCAGTGCCTGCTTTAGGTTCACTCTGCAACCGCCGAGTAAGTCATTATATTCCCTATTTGGTATGCAACGCCGACACCATCGAAATCATCAACACTGCCCAGGTGCTGTGAAGCATATTTTATCTCACATTTTGCGCGCGGTACCACATTATTTCTTTTCTCTTAGGGCCCTGGACCTTGCTGCATCAACCTATAATACCAGTTTTATATACACATCGCTTCAGGGTTTGAATCGCTTCGAAGTTCAAGCTCATTTGAATCTTGAAAATTGTGCTTTTCAAAGCATTTCTTTTTCCTATTTCAACTTTAGATCTGGAGAGTGGGGATTCAGAATAGATAATCATTGTTTCCTGTGAAGAGGTAAAGATAATCCAGCTACTCCAGCTATTCCCGCTACCGGTATTCCAACTGCAAATCAAGGCTGTTTTCGTGGAGTCACTCACATTCGGAGATTTAGTGGAGGAGTGGATCGCAATGAGAGCCTCGAGATATCTATCTTATAGATTGGATCGGGGTAAAGATCGGATACATCGATAACATCGCAACTTTTGCCGTTCCCGACACATCTTATGAAGGTTGAAGCGAAGCAACCCATGGCAAATACTTGATTTGGGCCTAATCGATCGAATAGTGGGAGCGATCATTGGGTTATAGTTTCCATTTTCACTCTTGGAGCAACGTTTTAATTCAGAGGCCCCGTTCGCTTCGTCGACAATCCCAGTTTTGGTCAACGATTATTATTGCAGGATCCATCAGAGCGAGTCTATTTAGAGCTCTCAGTCAAAACGACATCGTCCCCCAGGGATAGACCAAATCTCACCAATCTAAAATGGATCACGTATTTGGAAACACGCTTTGGAAACACGCTTTGGCACGTAAGATAAAAGACTCAAGTTCCACAACGCCGGTAAGTAGATTAAGTGAGCACTGCACTCCATAATCAGTCGCAGGGGGGAACCAGTCTATTTCAACCACCCCCGATCAAGTACCTTCATCGGGTCAGCGGCACTTAGCCTCGTTATTATTTTGCGAATTTTTCTGTTTCGGTGTACATCATCGCCAGGCTTATCAACTTTCCAGGCCCAGCCAGTCCACTGTTCTTAACGTATTGGGGAGCAATTTAACGATAGAGGCACAGAATGGATACATCGCATTCCTCTTTACATTTGCGCTCCAGTCATAGCAAAGTTTTCATCTGCAAGCGAGCTGAGTGGCCTGTCCATCGAAGGCCCAAAAATCATCCCATTCTTACAAAATTACCTGCAGACACCCGAATCTATGAAGCTAGCCTCTATAGCGTTTGTCCGCTAAACGTGCTGTACACTCATTGAGAAGTATTCTCTCCCTGCAGAGACTGTACGCCTGTAGTGGAAACGAGTCGGTTCTTGCGTTTACTGTATCTTATGTGTATTATTCTGCCGTCGTGATCACGCGGCAGTCAATTCCCCAACACTCGGCAGAAGCCACCTCGGACAAAATCTCCCCATAAACGTTAGACTATTGCAACGTCGTGGCTTTTCATTTCTTTTGATGTTCTTCGAAGCATTTTTCGATTGGCGCGGGATGATGAATATTGGTGGCGTCTCTGAAAAGGCGATAGTTGACGACTATTTTGTTGCTAATTTTCTTTTTCTTTAGCAACCCACCGGTAAACATCCAATGGCTGCAAACGAGCAAAAAGTCGGGGCTTGGGGCTGAAAATGGCTCGTCTGGCCTGTTTTGGTACAATGATCGATGATGCCCATCTCGACTAGGAAACAAGCTTAAATGTCGACTTCTTGGTTTGTGCCACAAAACACGCTGGGGAAATGTAAGCACAAGCACTGGCACTGGCACTGACAAACGGTTCCACCAACCTGTATCGATCGTCTCACGGCAGCCTTGGAACATAGCTGAATCAGTCAATTGAAGAATAAATTTATGGCCACACGCAGCTAGGGCTGAACATCCAGGATCAATTCGAAGCGCGCGGCCCTGCGTCTGCAATTGGGAAGATATGATTTCCATATCTTCACATACATTGTACATACTTCCATAGACCACTATACAGCCAAACATCACACACGCACGAAATACGACAACTAAATTCCAAGTAAGCGTAAAAAGTATCCACAATCCCCGTTCCTTGAAATACATCGCCTTCGCCTTCCCTCTGCATAATCATTTCAAATAAAACCATGTTCGCACGTTTCACCCTTCACTCACACAATCAGCACCCCTTCCACGATACCTGGCCTTGATTACGATAGCTCAGGGTAGCTAATCTACTCGCCTACTTGACGCACAGCAATCCTTTAATTCATGGATAACCATTCAAGCGATGCACTCAAAGGGAAGACAATCCCTACCAGAAAATCTCAACTCCCTGGATACACGTTTACATCACACCGCATGCTTACGCTCCCCGGATCGTCGTGCGCGTCGTTCCCCGTACCAGATTTTTCGGCGCAACGTACTGCTGACAATGCGATATAATATGATACACAAAATCCTGCCCTGCTTGGCGTGAGGCATGGGGTCAATAGGAGATGAAAAAATTATGAGATGGTAAGTTAGTATATGGAGATTTTCCGCGAGTGGCTTCGGAGTGACTCCCGTATGAGAAATGTGGCGGGAGGGCCTAAGATTTGTCTGGTTGATGCTGTGAATAGGAGATGTTGTGTGATAGGAGTTCATCAGGGGAAAGGGGGTAGAAAAGGAGAGGGCATATGCTAATTGCTTTGAGGGTATTGTGGAATAAGGAAGGCTTTGTCGCGTGATTTGACGTGGATGCATCGAAAGAGATGCAGAGCGATTGTTTGGTGATGACTGTCTGGGGTACATTGTACATCCAGAAAGAGCAGAAGAAGTATCTGTGTACTCGTCGCTATTGCTGGTCACAAATCTTTTGATATTAATCACAACATCTGAAAAGGGACATGTTCAAAAAAAAAAAGTCACATGACCTTTGGCATGCCGTCAAAGATGCACATTTACAGCATAACCTTCCCGATTCGATTTCAGCAAGCAATCAACTTAGTGTTTCGATTCAGTTGTAGTTAAAATTCTAGGGCGCGATGAGAAATTAAAATGTCAAAACAAGTGCACCCCGATTGATGATCAAGGCGGCGCAAAAAGTAGATGTGCAAGTAGTAAAAAATCCTCTCATGGTTATTCAGCAAATACCATAGCTTAATCCACAGTGAGCATCGTCATCCCTTCCCCAGAACAGACGATCGATCTCATCCAGTTCATGCACCTACCAGCTCCCTTAAAACAAGCATTCAAACCGATCACGAAGTAGAACTAGTTCGTATATACGCGAAGTAAATTTCCTGCATTCGAACACTAACGCTCAAAAGAAATTCGGCTCGAACTCAATGCAGAAGTTGAGGGAAGATATGAAACGCTCTATGTTTGGATTGGGAAACAGGCAGGATAAGAATTGTGTCATACCTTTTAAGTTGAGTTTTCAGGTTTGAGAAGCGACAGGGGGAGTACGGGACGGACGGCGGGGGTTACACGTTGTGTTACTTGAGATTAGGTGAAACTTTGGAGATGTTGGATGTTTCTTCTTTCTGCTGAGATAAAGTTGTGGGGGTTTGAGGGGTGCATGTCTGGGTTTCTATTTGTGTATTTCATTCTTTACTTTTTGGGGTAGGTGGGGGGTATGATCGTAAACGAGGTTAAAGGACGCCAATGAGTTAGAACTTAGATAAGATGGGCTGGGAAGAAGCAATGAAAAATCAAGGGATCTGAAAGGTAACAAGATACGTTATCAATTGAAATGTGCACAGAACTTTGTATCACGAGATAAATATGAGGATCGTGAATCATCGATCTTCACGGGAGGAGTCATGGAAATGCGGAGACGGTGCAATTTCAACCTATCAAAGCTATAGAGACGCAATATTGTGCTGGATCTCAGATATTCGAGTGCGTCGAGCATGCTATGTAATGTCTATCAAACACGCGGGACGGAAGGAATAAAGGTTATCATGACTTCATGCCTCATACCATTTCTATATAAATATTTGACGAATGTTCAATAGCTTTGGTTGTCGTTCCACTAAACAATAGGTCAGTAGTGTATTCAAAACAATCATGGGAATTTAACGTACGTAAAGGGTATCGTGAAATACTTCCGGACCAGTTGCATACAATTCCCAACCAAATTTCATTCTCGCATACTGTATCAGATGACTCGCAACCTTGATATGCCCCACATCAGTTGGGTGGTACGCTGGCCCAATATCATTGTGTTGCATCAAGCCGGTGGTGTTGAAATAAGATACGAATGGAGCAGAAGGTCGATGGGACGAATAAGTGGAATTGGTATGCGGATTGTACAATGTTGGATTGGACAAGTATTCCTTGGAGTTGAAATATTGATATATGTTGTGAATTTCAGAGGCAAATCCTTGAGCTTGCGCGTAAGAATTTCCATAGGCAAAGAAACCCTCCCAGAGAGACTAATCGTGTCAGTGATGCTCATACGCAGCCTGTAAAGTTGGACGTACCATCAGAATTATTTGAGCATTGGGCCAGACAGCATGAATACCCTCAATCAGTAAGGTATACTGAGCGACGTATTCAGAACTAGTAACATTGATCGCCCCATTACTGTCATTAGTCCCCAGGTTGATCACTACAATATCCGCATCATCTTGCTTGGAGAAATCCCAAAGTTCTGGTTTATCGCCCCATATTTGAGTGGCACGAGGACTAGTATCAGAAGTATAGTACCACTGGTGAAACATTCCTCTAGTATTGCCCCAACACAATTGGTCGACCAAACAAATTCCCGGATATGCTGTGATGGAATACTCAGTGTTTCCAAGACCGGCTCCCATACCATACGCAAAGCTCGAAAGCCCTTCTAGGGTAGCTGTGTAACCCGAAGAAAGAGAATCTCCAATGAATTCGATAGTCCTTGAAGATTTAGGAACCTTAATCAGGCTTTCACCTTTACTCAAGTGGACGGCGGAGATCTGGACACCATACGCCCAATTTGTGACTCTGAGCTCAAAAGTTGATGGGTTTATAGGCCAGCCGACATCAATCGCAGGAGATTTTGGACTAACTAGTAGATGCGTGGCATTTGTAGTGATGTTTGTGAGCTGCCAATCCTGACCATTCACTCGATATCCAATCAAAACAGTGTCCGAAGTCAAAGGCCCAAATGTAATGGCGACTTCTTCTCCCGTAAATCCAAATTTGAGCCCGGGTGCTCTGAGGCTTGTTTAGTCTTCTCCCGCCTTATGGACAGAATTCAGAATAGATAACTTACGACCACCAAGAAACATATTTACTATCCCATCGTCCTTTATAGGAGAGTTCTGGCGCGCTGGGAGGGTAATCAGTGAAGTCATGGTCGTTGAGTTCTATCTTCGTGTCTGGATAATTTGTGATGCGGACTTGATCATTCTGCCAAATTGTTGCAGTTACCACGCAGGAAAGAGATAGGATTATACTTGAAATCATGGACTTCATTTTGACAGTGCGAGACTTACACAAACAACAACAGAAGGAATCGCAGAAATCATATTGCTAAGAAGCCGTTACTTATAAGACTGCAGATATTTTGAAGCAATATTGGCAAGGTCACAATCGAGTGCGGGGTAATTGCCCAGCGAGCGGAAATGGGGCATTTTGTTTTCCCGAGGCGGCTGTATAGTAGGTGCACCCTGTGCAGACTATCTGAAGAAGATGTGCAATAACGAGAACACTTCTCGGGACTGATGTACCGAGTACTGTCAATCACATTCACGTAGCTGCTCATGCACTACATGGGAGCGTCTGCACCGGAAGATCGAGCCGCACTCGCGAAGGTGTACACATGTACATGTATATATCGTGTCAATGGGGCCATTGAATATTGACACGATATGCATCTCCTTCCCTTGCTCCATACGTTTCTTCTCCGGTGGATGAAAGGGTAAGATCTGATATTCTTACAGCAGCAATGAACAGTGTGATGTTGATATGGATGTTGATTTTGATGTTGATGAGTGGTGGCAGTTTTCAGGATGATGAGATGCAGATGACATGATACATGCATATTTTTATGAATAATTATGCAAAAGTTTTATGTATGTACCACCATACTCAATCTTTCTTAGCACCGAATGACCACTTCAATTATCCGTATTTGGCGGGAGGAAGGTCGCACACAGAACGACCATCGTTGAACTTCTATTCTCAACCACTCATCACCATTACTTTCATTCTTTCCCGTGTATAATTATATTTGTTTAATTGAATTATCCTTTAATACTAGACCACCTTCCTAACACAAATCTACCCATACTTTATACTCTCGTACGGAAATCACCTTGAATCAAAATACTGCAGAGGAGGGAACAAGTAAACGAAAAGAACCTACTTATCGTTCTCAGCTGATCTATTCACTCATATATAAAAAGAAAGGCATCCAAAATACCGGAATCGATTGTGGATCTTATATTCCCTGGTTTGACTGTCTCTCGTCCAAGCTCAGCTCTCGCGGAACCAAACTTTGAATCTATACTATCACCAAGCTAAGGGGGAAGGGACTCCTGGAAAATGATCTTTCCTGAATCACAACTACCATGAAGTTTACAGCGCCTTCACAGTTCTCTGTGAGGGTGTCGAAATCATCTAGTAGACTTCTGTTATCGCTTGGCATCATCCAGAATTCCTCGCATTACCAAGAGGCCTAGAACCAATGGCCTCACCTGCCCCATCTGTGCCAGATACCCAGCTCAACTTAACGGCTGATGAGATTGCTCTCCTTCGACACCATCAAGTCCAAGCTGCCGTAACCGCAGGCTCCAGCTCTTCTCGCGCAGCCTCGCGAGCATCGTCACAAGGTCTCCTCCTACTCGATACCACTTCACTCGCAGCTCTTGGGCGTCATTTTGACCATCTCATATCACAAATCAGCTCGAGGCTTGACTATCTATCTGAGCAATCTGCTATTGTTGCACAGCAACAATATGATAATGCGGGGAACGCGATTGCTATGGCGGATGCGGAGATCGCACGGTTTCATGATATACTCAGGCAAATCGATGAGCTGGAATTGGACTTCGACCGTATTCGTCATATCAGGGATATTGTGAGGAGTTACCGACAGAGAGTTGAGGAAATGGAACAAGCTGTGGATAGAAGCGCTAGCGGGCACACGAGTGGTAGTAGACATCGGCATAGGCATCATCATGAGAGCTCTGGCAGTTCGAGAAGACATCGAAGATGAAACCGCTAGGCATAAAATAGTTGAGTTGGAGAACGGAACAAAGACTCTGGTATCGGGACCCTTGTATACTGGACCGATTGATGGTATAATGGAGATGAAGGGGAAGCGGGCGGTTGTATTTGCTTGGACGGGCTAAAACGGGAATCAGTGGAGAAACCAGGCTCGGACACACTGAGAAGAAATATTTGCCTCACGGCTGGAGAAGGAATAGCCTCGCGGCCGGCGTTCGATTTGAAATCTTTGGTTTTTTGACATTATTTCCTTTGAGGATAGCGCCAATACCCATTTTTCGGTATGGGGAAAGTTTCAGGTCTCGAATCTAGATATTTGAGAGTTTATTTCATGAATCTGGGGTGGAGCAAGCGATTGACTTATCATACTGAAAATGTGTAATTTATCATTCTTAAATGTATAATTTTCTGGAGATTTTTACTCTTGATTGAACGGCTCGATCAATTTTGTTGGACTGGCAAGATTAGTCACTAAGTGTCATGTCGAGCCCCCTTTGAGATTCTCGTTTACGTGTCGCTTCATGTGTTTCCTCTTGGTTTGATTATTGACGATAATATCATCTGGGGCCGCGATGAGATGAGTAAACAATACCAGGGCATTTGAGATGACCTCATCTAACTACGGCACTTGAGACAAATAGCAATCTTGCTACAGCACTCACCCAAACCTTTATATCATTCACATGCCAATGAAATTAAAGATTGAAAGCGTTCTTTACTGAATAATCAAAGGCTCCCTTACTTGTTTCTCCATTTACCAAAAGTTTTGAAGATCTACAAATTGCCAAGATCTATAGCGTTGAAGATGATCAAAAGGCTAGTCAAAGGGCATTCTTTGCCCCTATGTCAACTGAAGGAGAAAGGAGGAAAGTAACTTTCGCGGTTGTATATCGCATTACCGTGTGTATGAGTAGTCTCTTGATGAAAGAGTGCGTTCTGGATTCCTTTCTTGGAGACCCTTTTGCATGAGGGCTTTAGGTCAGAGTAAGAAGATAAAGATATACATGATTACCTTGGTGTACCTAGGGGACGGAGATCACATTTCGATAACATATTCTCAAGTGGGATTTTGATGAGTCAAAAGCTTGGTTGCTAAGTTTTGTATTGCTGTTGATTACAATCATTTTCTATTTCTAACAGATACATCTACATATCAGCCACGTTGTTCCTCATTGATCAAACCGTATTCCTCCCATTGCTCTCCTTCATAGTCGCTGTTCAATCATCATTCTGATCCCATCTCAACCAGTTTGTTATTTACCTAATGTCAATCTACACCTGTCCCGCAGATCATCCCACCCCGCCGTCGCCCACCAGCAAAATCTGCATCAAAAAATGCAAAAAGAAATGAAACATACAACAGTGGGGATTCGCTGGTGGTCACCCACCCAACTACTAATCCACCGATCTGAAGCTTGTGTATGGCAGAGCGGACGGGATGCCCAATTCTCTTCAGTCTATGGTCGTATGTGACAGCAGGCCGCGATCTGGGCTATATATAATGGCCGTAAAAAGACTGGTAGCTTCTGAAAAGTGTTCAGTCTGACAATGGACCGGCCCCCGATGATGCATCCCTTGACCTAGACCTTTACTTCTTGTCGATAGGCTTAACCATATTGTTGCTGTATACCAAAGAAACTTCTTGACAACTGGCGTCGGCTGATATGGCACGTAGATATCAATAAAACTAAAAAGTCACTTAGTACATAATTGAATCGCCGGAAGGCTTGATGACTATGAATGGCGGTAACCATCAGCGAATAGAACGCAGAGAATGTAGGAAGAACTCGTGCCTTGGTGATCTATTTATGCTTTTGTTGTCTTGGAGAATAAAGTGTCGTCTTATATCAGTAGTCTGCCAACATATAAAGTTTTTCTACGAGTATTACTTTTCACATACCGCAATAACAAAATAATTTTACGAGAAGTACATTCAGCGTACCTGAAAGTGTCTTAACGCTAGCAAAATATCATGCTAAGCCACTTTCAAGAAAAAAGTTTTCAATCCTCTTGATGCCCTCACTGAATTGTTCCCAAGGGACAGCAAGAGTGATTCTTACCCAGCCTTTCTCTTCATCTGCGCCCGCGAATCCTTTACTTGCGCTGACTATAACTTTATGCTCCTTCAACCCTTGCACAAGGGCTGCTTCGTCTTCCCAAGACTTCGCATTCTTGACGAATTTAGCGAAGACTACAAAGCCTGCATTCGCGGGTAGAAACTCGATACCAAGACGAGTCAAAGTTGAAGACAATAGGTCATAAGATTTGGCGAGAAGTGCGTTGTTCTTGCTTAATAAAGCAGGAAGTTCGACTGAGTTCAGAAGGTGTGTAAGTAGAAGAGCGGACAGAGATGAACTTTGATTGTAGGTCGAAATTATAGAGCCAATGCGAACCATAGGATTGGCTTGGGTGATCAAACAGCCCTGCGCTCTTGTTAGCCATTAGATATTTTGAGGGTTCATTTGACATACCAGTCTAATACCAGGTATACCGAACAGTTTACTCGCGCTCCAGAGAACATGGAGCTTGCTTCTATCGAATGTTGTTCCATTCTTAGAGTCTGAGCTACCATCTAGTAAGGATAGTGCTGATACAAATTTATCGCTTTTCGTGTCTCGTCCGAACTCCATTCCAACATATACTTCGTCAGAGATATAGTGCAATCCCTTCTGCACACACCACTTCAATACCGCCTGCAGTGCAGACTTTGAATAACATTGTCCAAACGGATTGTGTGGGTTACAAATAATCAACCCCTTGATACGTTTCGGATCGGCAGCGCTATCATAGGCAGCCTCGAGAGCAGGAATCAATGTATGCGATGTAAGAGCTGCAGAATACGGTGCTGGATAGACAGGAACAAGTCTGACACCAGCATGACAGTAGATATAAGCGCCGAAAGAATCTATTCAGGTCAATATAACAAATCAATAATAATAGAACCCGAAAGCTTTACAGACAAAGGAAAGGGTATGGGGTACAAACTCCAACAAGGACCGGGAACTAGAATTGAATCTCCTGGCTCGCATATACTGGATGCAAGGGCATCGAGACTAAAACCCGCTCCAGCGGCAACGACAAGGTGATCAGGAGTAACGGGGGTCGAGGGCTTGAAGTATGTATTGAAGAATGAGGATATTGCTTGCATCAGGGACGGATCTCCCCCAAGTCCCATAGGGTAGTTGAAAGTCTATTTGAGGCATAAGGAAGTGAGAAATGAGCCATGATTTGTTGGGAAAAGGCTACCGACCTCCTGAGTTAAATCCTTTGCAATAACACCTTTGCAGATATCAAGTAATTCACTTCGTATAAGTTGGTTGTCGGCCACAGACAAGTTGACTACTTCGGGGTTCGGCTCGGCATGGTCGGCCGCAGCAGCAGCAGCAGCTGGAAGTAGAGTTTGAATGATATCATTCATGCGATTAGATAGTGGAGGCACTTGTGTTTCAGCCATTTTGGGTGTTTTCGAATGTTCAAAGAATTTCTAACAAGACAACGGGACCTGGGACAGAGGAATTGTTATTTACATATGATTTCTCAACCCTTGCTACTTGCATCGGTTACTCGGCATATGAGTGGGGGAAATGCATTGCTGACCAGGATCTGAGAGGCGAAGCCTTCTAAGATTATTGATGTTTCCTTCACGGACTAGTTGGAGTTTTACTACAAACGACGAGACAAGAATCAACCCCGTAGATTGTACGTCAATGTTGTGGTCAACTTTGGACCCTGGCTAAATAGAAGACAGCTGATTTTAACCTTGTCTTTGAGTCCACAAAACTGGCTAATGCGGGTTAATGTTAAAGGATTTTGCGTGCTTCAGTCTTGCTACTAAATCATCCCACAAAAAATGTCCAAGGTTATTTAATTTTCGCGGAGCACAGTTTTCCCTTTGCATGGACGGTTGATACTGTGTTTATACAAGTCGCCCCTAGGTCATATTTCTAGGTATATATACTGGCTCGAGACTGGCTTAAACTAACAGGACAAGACAGATTCGAGATTTGCATGGGATTTATTTTATATAAATTAAATTAAGAAATGAACATTCTATGATATAATATAAATAGAAATGAATATATTATATTAGATTTCAGTATTTCAATATATTACTAATAATATTAAATATCTAAATAATATTGAATACTTTCAGTGATATAGCTTTCAATATTACATACGCATATGTTTTTTAAAAGAAATGATATGTATCAGGAGCCGGAGCCGAATCAGGAAACGATATACGGGAAATACTATTGCCTACACTGGGACGCCCTAAGGAACGCGCTAATTTATAGCTCTCTTCCACTTTAGCCCAGTCACGTCTAAAGTGCAATCGATATAGAAGTGTCAGAATGCCTTCTGCGTGGTCGGATTGACCTCGAAATGTGGGGATATCAATCGCAGAGAGCCCAGACCCAAGCAGTTTGACTGTTAAGATTGGCGGATCAACAAGTTCCCATGATCTTGAGTCAGGAGATTCGTAAAGGTCCCTCGGCAATTTTGAAGGCTTGAAGAATTGCTGCTTGATTGGGCTCTTTGACTCGGTAGATGATAACTTTATTTGGTCCCAAACATCGTACGATAGTCTCAAAGATTCTCGACCTAGATAGTAGGCCACAAAACCAACAATCCAATACTGTTCGAGGTCTTCAATAATCCTGTCAAGGCTAGAGTTTATCGTGGTCACTGACTCAAGTCTAAAAAACCTGCTCATGGTTCCCGGCACGAGAATATCATGTAAATCACCGAGGCCTATCACCCTAATGACACCGGTGGTACGCGATAAGAGAGTTGCAACTATTACCCATGGATCACACTGGCGATGAAGAAGCCCATGGCAGTAAGAAATTATGGTCTGGGCATCTGTAGCATCTCCACAGCGACTAGAAGATTAGGCAATCAGGATGTGACGATTAAGAATATCTTTCAAAGAAATCGAGCAAATTGAGGGATTAAAAGTCATTCTGAGAATTTCAAAGCCAGATACAGAAGTAGAGTTTGAAATCAGGATGAACAAGGTATCAAGAACAAAGAGGGTTGAGAATTGGTGAAACATACGGATCGTAAGGATGGAGGATGTCAAGCATCGTTGTCATTGATGGCTTAGGTGTGCCATCTATGCAAATGAACTTGTCTTCGACGCCCAGGTAGATTGCCATATTGAGGCTATGCACAAAATGCGTAGCCCAGAATTGGGCAATAGGACCCAGCATCCCGGCACCATTAAGTTCTAGGGAGGGAGGCTGGGTCTCGGGACTGCGTTTACAAAGTACTTTTAAAATAAACAGAGAGATGTTATCGCGCCGGACTTCTTCATCTTGATCTTGGAAATCTTGGAAGACTTCATCAATGATTGATTCAACTTTGGAGTGCTGATGATCGCCAGTCGTTTTCAGAATTTCATAAAGTTCAGGTAAGCTCTTCCAGTCATGTGAAACCAGCGGTTTTGCACGTTCAGCACAGTACTTTTCGATCCAGACACCCAGTTCATAATGACTTATCGCGAACGCAGATTTGTCTTTTGTCCGTTGGTCCTGCCGTCTTTCCATACATGTTTCGAGTTGTCTTAGGGCCCCTTCACCTGTCATCACGATGCCGTTGATAATGTCCAATACTTGTTCTTCCTCGCGAGAAATTTTTTGATCTTGTGATGCAAGCGGCTTATACAACATGTCGTGCTCGATTTCGGACCACACATGCATTATCAAAGTCCCGATTTGAATTTCAACTTTGATGTCATTCCAAGGGGGTCTTTTGGCAGGTAGGATGTCCTTAGTAAAGAGTTTCACAATGAGGTGGGTCGCTCTATAGCCTGGAAACTCCCTCTTCACGAGGTCTACTGCTTTTCCAGCAGCGCCAGGCCCATCAAGTACCTCGATGCATTTTTCGAGCTTCTGTGCAATGTCAGAATCCTGATCTTTGCGCCATTTACTGATGACTTCTAGTCGATTACTTAGTAGGCTTATAACTCGCTCTACATCTCCTGGAAAGTAAAGCGAGATGCGAAGGCCACCGAAGTCGTGTAAAGCATCGAGAATTTGTCCAGGGTCCTGAAATGATCCTATCTCTTTCTCACATTGCTCTTGACCCCAAATCCGGCACCAGCCCGGCCAATCCCAACCTTTTGATTGAACTGCAGTTCGAAGGCGTTGACGAGCTATTCGTTCTTTCTGGCGTCGCCGAAGAGTTCCTTTAGCGGACTCCCATTTCTTAATCCGATGGGTTATGGGAGGATGTCGTATGTTTCCTGATGCTAGAGCCTCGTTACAGATATCAAAGACTTTTGTAGTGTAGGCTTCCATTGTATCTATCTTGCTGCCAAACAAAATTCGGACAGTTTCTAGATGATGTTGGAAGCGATCCTCCGTGGTATCTTGAGACGCCATGATAGGAACTGGTATGATCAGTATTAAGGAAGCCGGACTGTATTTGTGACCGAAGAAAATGGTCAGTAAGATCAAGTATATCCAACGTGTGGGGTAGGCAGAGGCTTACCTCAACCTGGAGTCAGCCTCAATGTTACCCTGTCTGATACCACCGAAAAATTAAGAGCCTAGTGGATACAATGTGATTCGCTAGGAAAAAATCGTTATCGTCGTTTTTGGGACGATAGAAGCCTGCACTTTGACGCCAGATCAAGCTAGCTGCCATTTGGCATTGCCAGGAAAGGTGAAGAAGAAATATGAATTATTATTTAGTGAGAAGGAGAAAAGTGACAGCAACGAATAAATATCCATCAGGCAATAACCTCCAGAGATTCAAATCAACAAAAGTCTAAAAATCCAAGGGAAGAGAGTGATAGTACACAACCGAGACATTTCATCCTCCACTAAGAATACAACAACTCGCCATTTTCTTATGTGCATAGTGAACGCCTGTTGCGATGTTGATTTGACTTCGCAAAAACAACGTGAAAGTTGAAAACAAGTTTTTTGAAGTTCGTCGGGACACAAGGTGGTTAGCAAGACGTTAGTTTCTTACTTAAGAAACCAGCAGTTATCAGGGGCGGTGACTGCAATTCTAAGTGGGACCGAGTTATTGTTTTATAAGAGACTATGGTGGAAACATTGATATTGAAGAGAGAGGAAGCTTCAGAACAATTAGCAAAGACAATGTATAAAATTTGTGGAAAAGTGATTCAAAACATTTTTGAGTCTGTACATCCAGGACTCTGGTCACCATGACGTGTTAGACAAGGCCATCAAATGATTTATCTAAATTTGGAAGAGCATAAGATCACGCGGAGGAACAAAGGCATCGAGGAAGTAGACTGCAAAATTCATGATATCATCATATTCGTAATTGGAGTCTACAAGCGCTTCATGAGCTCCCAAAAAACGACCCCACAACACCTTGATAGTCCATCAGTATTCCGCGCCCTCATCATCATCGCTCATTCCATTACGTTCTTCAAAAACCAAGAATGGCGATTCTTCAGTCCCATCAGAAATTCTTTTCCACTCCTCCTCAACATCTACTAGGACTTGATCGTTGAAGGAGAGGTCTAGCTTGTCTTTGCTTCCTTGCTGCTCGTAGTATACGCTGTAAAGCACTTGCCCACTATCACCCTCTGTTGTCGCAAGAAACTTGAAGATGGCATCATCTAAAAGGAACTTTCCGGCCTGTGTGGTCGAAGATTCAGGAAGGAGAGTAGTGGCGTAGAGGATGCCTTAATCAATTGTCAGCTGTTTGTTTATGCAAAAGCGTGTGAATGAATTGGAAATGGAGGTAAAATGATCAGAAAGTTTTTATATTATCTTCAATGGAATTCAGACAATGTAGATAAGTTTTAAAGTTTGTTCATCATATAATGCGTGTGTGGGTAGATACGAGAAAGGGTGATACTGACATTGACCTGCTGGGCATTCGCCAGTTTCGCTAGAATGAGCCATAATATACACCGGATAATCCTGACTGAAATCGGATGCTACCAGAATTTTCGCTGGGAAAACGATCACAGATGCGGCAGAGGTCGGGGAGCCTTCCACTGTACTAGTGAAAAGGGATGCCAAAGGTGATGATACAATGGTCATAGCTTTGGCAACCCGGATTCCAACGCGAGGTGCATCATGATCGATTCGAGTAATATATCTGGAATTAACCTTCTCATCATTCGATAAATCGACTTCATATGTAGTGACACCTTCAGCCTCAATGCGGTTTGTACCACGGATGCCAGTCCCCAGAACATACACACCACCGCCTACCGCACCAGCTCTGCACGCGACTTGCGCAATTTCAGCGCCACCACCCCATTTCGGAACGACAGCTCCGAATCCAGGACCAAAGACGCCAATCGATGTCAGATGTCTCTGAATTCTCGGCAGCGCATATTCTACCTTTGTTCCCTCAAGTGTATCGAGTGACAAGGTCAAGGCTCCAATGAGTGTCTGCAAGTTCTGGGGAAGCTTAAATTCATCCGCGAGAAACTGTGACAATCCCATATCAGCTTTGCCCTGCCAAACCTCAACTTGATTCTCATAATCCACGACAAATTTCAAGAATTTCATCAGTGATCGCTTGGCGCGATTATCGATACTATTATCTTGGAAGATATCTTCTCGACCTGACGGCAGACGTTTCAGTGCTGCATCATCATATAAGAACCAGCTACCGACAGCTTGGAATTCGAGTTGTTTGTAGACTTTTGAAGATACAAGGGCAGATAGGAGTGGTGATCGCGTGTATATTATTTGTGGTGAAAGGGTGAGATTGTATGCTCTCGAGAAGCTTAACTTCTCTTTGAGGGTAGAGTTGTACGTTGCAGAAGCATTGCTGAAAGTTGATGTGCCGCTCTGGGTATGGGATCGTTTCACCCAAGCGTCTGTTTCTTGCAAACTAAAGGCTGCTTCTTCGTCTCCATAGTATTCGTTATTGTCGACGTGTAATATCTTTTTGTTTGAACGAGAGAGGGCTCTTTATGGTACTATGTTAGTTAGTTTCCTTCCTGAGATTACCGCGTGTTCCGCGACCAAGCTCCACAACAGGGGGTGGAGTGTTGTGAGCTTACAAGGCAAGCAACGAGTGCTTCAAACCAGTTCCTTCAATCACCAAGTCCCATTGCGTTTCGCTCAATGATTCCATTTTTCTCGATTACGAAAAGTTTGTGCAATTTATAATTGAAGCTTGGTGGGTCAATCCTTGAGCTCACTAGCCTGATCGCTAAAACCTTACCAAGCTCAAAAGAGTTTAGCGTCTGAAATCTTGAGCTTTGATAAACTTCTCGCGAAACTTTTTTTCTTCCTTTTTTTCAATCAGTCGTCCGACACAATTCAAATCTTCTCATTTCTCATGAAGATGCGGTCGTACGGAAAAGTCTTTCAGTAGATTTTTCTAGTTGGACGAAAGACCAATTCAGCGTCCTGTATCTACTGCTCTGGAAACTATGTTCTGAAGGAAGCGGTTCGTAAAGGTGTGCTACATATCAAATGACGAAGGGAAAATATTCAAAAGGCTGGAATTTATTTCGGCGCCTTGGGTATTATCAGGCATGAAAAGAACGGGTTTTCAATCAGTGATAATTGTGAAGATTGGGTCTCGAGGTTCTCCAGTTGCAGACGCAGATGCTGCAGGTTGTCGATATGCAGTATAACGACACACGTTGACGTGGTTCCGAATCTCAAGGCATACAAAAGCCGTACCTCTCTCTGGCCGACATGGATATAGTTGCTACAGCGTGCTATTTGCCTGTCCATCGGATAGTCAGGTCTAACGGTCGTCCATTCACCTGATAGGCCTCGTTGTACTGCATTGCTGCCGCATAAATCTTGCCGCAAATTTACACAGCATCTAGGCACTTATCTTATGTAGCACACAAATTCAAATGTTAATTCAGGAATGTGTTGTTTGTGATCATTAATTGTTTGAGATTATAAACAGTGCCGACTGATGAGCCTGCGATAGATTACAAATAATAGTTGGGTATGTACTCCAAACAGAGATGCCCACAAATGCCCGCCTTGATGCCATTGGTATAAGATATGTTGGGATTCTGGCCCTCTCCCCTTGACCCAAACACCGCCGTCCGTCAAAAATATGTTGATCGTAGAGTCATCCACTCCGTACAATCAACCTGCCCAAAATTAATCCAAATTAAATGGCATAATTCTCCGTATGTAAGAAAATTTCGTCTTTACTGTCATCGCCCCAGATATCCGCTTGCAGCTTAGCCACCGTAGTTGCTACATTAATGCGCATTTCAGGAGGGCCGCAAACAAAAACGCATGTTCTCCTCCCAAAAATACCATGCCCGTCAGGTCCTCCGGTGGCCATCTCTTTCAACATATATCCTAGATCAGGTCGACCATATTCAGTAGTCCAGCCCTCCTTCTTCTTAGGTGCAACAAAAGCAAAACGCATCAGGTTCTTCTGGAACAAGGTAGGTGTTGAAGGGAAGCCAAAGTCAAAGGTTGGATCTGGAATGTTATGTTGAAAATTTGACTGTGGAATTTGAAGCTTTAATTCCTCGGACTTCTGCCGCAAATGTGCAGGTTGTGAGGGCTTCAAAGAGGCCGTAATTTCTACCTCACTTGACATCTTCGGTGTGTCTTTTGCTGGAGGTGTGGGAGCAAATTCTCGAGGTGCGAATTGGTCTGAGAGTTGACCTTCCTCTGAAGATTGCATGTCAGGATTATACGCTTCTGCTGGATCGTCAATATGGTCCTGAGGATTATAACTATTGCGGGCTGTATCAGGAACAAAGCTAGCTCGATTGGAATTCGTTGAAGGCGGAGCGTATTGAAAATGAGGAGCATCCAGCTTTTGTGGAGGTACTGGGAAATGGAATGATTCTTTAGAATCGCTTTGTGGTTTAGTAGCAAATCCTAGTGGCGACAAGAATTTCCGAGTGGCCTCGTGAGAATCTGGAGAGAGCGCCGCTAACAGAGAACGTCTTTTTTCTGAGTTCTTTGACTTAGACTCTGTTGTGGGTGGTGGGGGAAATGAAGTTTGTACATTGGGGTGTACTCTTGGCTGCAGATGCTTCGAGTGTGGTAATGATGTTATAGCATCTTCATCCTCCATTCTTAACTCTCTTTCCCTCTCTTCATTGCCTTGAGCTTCATCACGAATGAGAGCCGAGTTTCGTTTAGAAGCAATGCCCGCCACAAACCCGTCTAATTTATCGTGGAATGCTGTGCTTAGCGGTCTCTGAGCTCGCCCGGCAACATCGTTCTTTGAGTATCGTTTTGCAGTCGTCACAAAAAATTGACAATTGATAGTGTCAGGAGGTGCATATTCCCGGCAAATTCTAAGCTCTTCTCTGAACCAATCCATAGATTCCAGCCTTTTTAATGCCCACACAACTTCAATCTTTTGAGTGACTGCCTTACCGTCCCTCATCCTCTTAATTAGATTTAGTAATTGTGAAACGATTGCCGTGATACCA